AAAAATGCCATTTAAGCTGGTTCGTAAGTGAGGGTGTTCGCAAGACGGGTGTATAGTCAATAAAACAGAAAAGAAAGTAACATGAACGGAAAATAAATTGAATGCTGATGTTGGCTTGCTTGTCAGAAGGGGCATTTCTAGGAGACTCAAAACACCTCGCGAAGGATAACCCCGCAGTTCGGTTCTTGAGTATGACCGAACGTTCGCAAGTTGGATGGTTAAAAATAACATCTTATGGTGGTTCGTTCGTAAGTAGGGATGTTCGTAAGTCGGACGTTCGTATCTCGGTATGACTGCCTGTATTAATTGCACTGAAACTTACTGCCACCGTGGTGCTGCCTGAAGAGCGTGTGTTGACACAGCAGGGGCACATACTTCACACCAGGAGTGGCATGTGACACGCTTGCTACGGACCACATTCTCTCTTGGGATATTGTATAAGCTCGGAAGCAATTGTCACCCTATCTGCCTTTTCAAACAGGAACGAGTTCCTTCGACACTAATCTCGCACTTTGTTGAAATGTAGCTGGGATACAATTTTTATTTCCACAAAACTCCAAAATGAAACTGCTATATTTTGTTTTGCTGCGATGGCTGCTTTACATCAATTACTGCGCACGTATGATTTCTGTGGAGGTTACAACCGGATTCTGATGAGTAAAGGAAAGGAATAATCTATAATAACCACAGGCTTCCTTAACTGTGCTTACAAAAATATAATGCAGGTCAGGCAGTTGTAGTAAAACTACACCACGAACTCTAAAAGTCAAATGCACAGGCCTGCAAATATTTGCTCCCAACACTGCGCTCCACCAGAGGGAGCTCTATAGAGCCCCTCGAGATAGATAGTATTTGGCCTACTCTTCGACACTACTGGGCATTTGTGCAAAAGAGCTTTAACGGATTCCTCCAGTATAAATATTCGGAGATGTCTTGGAATGAGGTGGGAGTACCCACACTTTACCCTACCTACCGGTCGACCGACCTTGCTGTGCTCAATTATGCTGCTGGGTGGAATGTGGCGGGGGGTGGTAGGGGGTCAATTTAAGAAACTTCCATTGTTTCCTTTGCAGCACAGGGAGATTGACCCAGTGATGAGTGGATTGCAAGTCCAGTGTGTTAACCATTATCACGGCAACCAACTATATTTAACTTTTTTGTGCTGCTACATGAAGGACATATACGATTTGCTTATTTATTGTGTAACCTATGTTCTCCACAGCGACACTAATTATTATATTCAGTTATGTATTACGTAATTTTGCGTCCAACTCGGACCCATATGTTCAAGAGAGGGTCCTTGACTAGGACATTTGGAAGTTCATCAGCATCGGTTCAAGCAAGCCTGACTCTGCTGATGACACACTGTAGGTCAAAACCGGTCCAGATGATCATTTTATTGAAACAATGCTGCTGCCAATTTGCATTCCCAGAAGGCCTTGTGGTTGACGGGAAGTCTGAAAATATTTTAATTATTTATGTGGAGGGACAGATATATGAAAGCGATACATTGCTTACTTTTTTATGTAATCAGCGTTATTATTTTGTGTTGAATATATAACAGTATATTTTAAGCAGCCATTTTGTGTTCCTTCCACACAAAGATGATCAGTTTTGTAAAAAGGTAACATTTTATGTCCCACTCTTAACATTACTCGTACACTTGTGTTACCAAACTGCCCTTGCAGTTCACAACAAACTGTGGCATGAGATGTAACAGTTCAACCTCTGCGCTCAAATTCCTACATCAACGGGACTTTCTCTGGTAGTTAACTTTCAAATGTAACATTAGCAGTGTTCATTTTCTTAGCTCTTTCGGTAAAGTCACGTTGAAGGGAAACAATAAAATAATAATATATATATAAAACAATAAAAATTCTCACGACGTTTCGACCATAACACAAACGGTTGTCATCAGGTGATGTCGAAACGTCGTGAGAATTTTTATTGTTTTATATATATTTAATTATTTTATTGTTTCCCTTCAACGTGACTTTACCGAAAGAGCTAAGAATATGAATTACTGCAGTCACGAAAGCTTTAAATCAAAATTAGCAGTGTTACTGAGAAACCAATGTCAATAACTCTCATAATTGTTGCTGTCAAATTGTACAACGATCTATGCATCCGTTTGTCCACTCAGAAATGAAATTAGCCAGGACCCTCCTGACTAAAATAATCTTGATTCTCAGAAAGGCTTTTCTGAATAAAAGTATGGCATTATTATTATCTTCCTGGATAAACATATGGCATTATTATATAAATGACATTAAGATAACATAAAATTATTATCATCATCATTTACCCATGGGTGCACATTTCAGGGGGCATTTTTTTCAAAGCGCCATTTTAATTGTGAACAATGTCCTGTCACATGGTGTGCATTTCCCATACGAGGTACATGTAGGAGTTGTATAAGAGAAGCATTAACTAGGGTTTTCGTGAAGGGATTATGATTGCACGCGTATTGAATGTGAAATTTTAAAAAGTCGAGTTTATAATAATATTGTTTTGAAAATAATGCTTTCTTGAATATCAACTGCCAGTGCGGCACATTGCAGGCGCCATCATCCACGCATGTATGAACAATTCGTTGATTGATGAAGCCAGTTTATATATTTTTTAAGAACAATTGCGTGACACTAAGGTGTAAAGTCGTCGTTGGATGAGCTGTACCTGCAAATGCAGACAACCGAGGATCCTTGACCCATGCCACATTGAAAGGGGTAAAACTTCGATTTAAAGCTTTCGTGAATGCAATGATTCATCTTCTTTGGTTCTTTCGGTAAAGTCACGTAGAATGAGAATAAAATAATAAATTGATAAAATAAAATAACACAATAATATTCTCACGACGTTTCGGCCGAAACGTCGTCAATTTATTATTTTATTCTCATTCTACGTGACTTTACCGAAAGAACCAAAGAAGAGGGGTAAAACTGATTTGATGACATAACAACTCTATATAATTGCATCTCACTGCCTTGTGGGAACATAAGATACTGTGCTCAAGGTTTAATTTGGAAACTTAAAAGTTTGCCTGATGGGGATTATTGGTTGGTTCAATTTGAACAGAACTTTGACATATGACTCACGCGATGTGTGAACATCTGAAATTGGCTGTGTAAATATACATTTTTCCCTTTCATCCCTCGTGAAAATGTGGCAGCAGGTTCCAGGATATAAAAAAGTGATTTACGGTATTTATAACATTCAATTTATAGACGGGACTGAGAAAGAACACTTACCATTTAGGCCACCCCTCTTATATGTGTGGTTATCTGTGTGCATTAAATATCAGATTTAACGAAAATAATAATGATAGGGTATTTACTGTCACTGAGGGAAGGAAATGTTTCTGCCAACTGGCCTTCTCCAAGAAATAATCATTTAGATAACTATGTGTGTATATATATTTGAATGTCCTTTCATATTGTGAAAATATTGTCATTGTAAAATGTGTTTCCATGTGTGTGAGAATACAAATTCGTTGTGTTTATACAGAGCGTGCGATGTTGACACGATTTTAATTTTGGTGAATACAGTGCAGTACAACGTCGCATATTCAACTCAATGGGGACAGAATTATAGCCGGGTATGCGAAAGTGTTAGATATGCGAATCTAAATTTACAATTACATTATGCACAAATACGCAACTGGGCAAAAGCAAAGCACAATGTGCTTTAAACAAGGGGAAATGTTGCACGGTGCTTTAGAAGTAAGGGAATGTGCTTGAGATTCAGAACACATTACTCGATGTTAAAGGTCAGATTTGTGAACATGTGTACAAAATGACACTTATACCCAAAGGCGCAAATATGACACTGAGTGTGGGCAGTTACCGGGTCAGGTGGGATATTTGACTTTGTTCTGTATATGCACACTTTTCACCAAACAGTATACTCTAATTTCTTAACAGGTTTCGGTCGTATATATTATAAAGCAATTAATCACTATTCACACATAATTTTTTTTCCCTACACGCGCCATCTATGCTTTATGAGGGAAACTATGTAATCACGAGTTAATTATTACATTCACGCATGCCTTGCAATATTTAAACGTTGGAGAGTTGACGTTATCACAATGGTTCACAGAGGTCATACAACAAGAGGATTAACAGTAGCCAAATAAAGATGCCAACGTGGGACTAACGTTGCCATGTTTGGTTGACCCACCGTTGTTGGGACCAACGTTGCATGTTTCCTGGGGGTGTCTTGTCCCCCCACCCCATCTGGTTATTTATGCCGTCGAGAAAAAAAATAGCATCACTATTCAGCATCAATTATCACCAGCCTTGCTTCGCGGCAGCAATTTGAGTCGAGCGCTGTTGTCATCAATCCCAAAACGAATGCACACGTTAATATTAAGTAATTGGTGTAGCTTATGAGGCAAAAAGTGAGAGTTGAGCGTTTTTGTCCGTGAAGTGCGAGTCTTCGAATGCAACGGTAAGTTCAATGAGTGCTTCTTCATGAAGGAACGCAGTAACTAGTGCCCTGAAGTGGAATTAAATGCACGGATATAAATGCATCAGTGTTTGCACCGTGGGCCAAAGATAAAAGTATTTCACATCCCTCCAAAGGTGGTGCGTGTACACACACGCACACAACTGTTATTTTCATGGCCACAAAATACCAATTACGACTACGGTAACAAATACCAGAGGTCACAAATATGAAACAGTGCAGACCTACAATTGTAGCCTATCATTAAAAACTCTTACCTCGTTTATTGATGTACTATGAAGATGGGCCATTGCCTGAAACGTCACCGTATATATGTTACTTTTAAGGCAGTGTGATTGACGAACGTGTTGAACTTGAAGGAAGTTTAAATATTACTTTAAATATACATTGTCGCAGAAAATAAACGTTAATGTACAATCGATACGCGTGCATTAATGGGCCATCCTTAAATGCCCCCCCCCACACTGAGGACATATGGCTGACAAGGCGGTCCAGGTATTTAAGCACCAGGTGATGGTAGCAGAGTGGCTTACCGCTCTCTTTAACTCTCAGAGTTGTTTGCTGCCGAGACACACGTGGAGCCCACTTGCTCGCCACCGATGAACCCGACTCATTTGTTCCTATGCACTTTGCCACTACAACGGGTGTTACGGCACACGCAGCGCCACGGAGCATATGCATATTTCATACAGGCTACAAGCAAGCGGGCACGTGTAAGCATATATAATGTAATGCAATCAGTGCTAAGTGCTGCGCACATTGCTTCCGTGACCCCATCGCGGTGACCTTTGAAAGCAACGGAGACGTGCCTTTTTTTAACAAGCACACCTGGCTTAGTATCCTTTCACCGAAAGGTCCCACAGTTCAGGATATTCATTTGCTTCGAGACGTGCATACGCAGGGACACCGCAACACAGTGCCATTAACTAATGTGTTTTTGGCTGATTTACGGGATCCATTCTAATGCCCGGTGGTAATGGGCTCTGGCTGTGTGGTGTTTGAGTCATGCTGCTGCTGCTGCTCGTAATGCGTTTCTTGCGCAGTGCTTGCGTTTTTCGTTGTGTGTGCGTAAATCGTCGCTTTACACGTGCTTTCTTGCGGCCCTTTGTGTATAGTTTTTTTTTCCCATTCGTTATTTTGAACTGCGGTACCACCACAGTACATCATTAAAACGTAGCCCTTGGAACGAAAGCGTCTCCCTTTGCTGGCGTCGGCTGCGTATCATTGTTGTGTACAAATATGCCCATTGTTTACTTAAACCGCGTCTTGTCGACTTCGCATGTCTCAAACACGTAAGCATTATTCACCTGCTCGGTGGCTGGGTTTTGGTAACGTGCGTGTGTGCGCGTGTGCGTTCAGGCTGTGAAGGGCTACATTCGCGGAGGGGAATCTTTATCTTTTTGTGTGCATCGTTTGTACGTGTCGTTTGTGCTGAGAACTGTGAGTGAAGCGTATAAAAGCCACTCTGCCTGCCCGCTCATACACTCACCCACCCACCCATTCACTCACCCATCCACTCACTCACCCACCCACTCACCTGCTGACATTTGCCTGTCCGCGTGCCCCAGCGATGCGCCCTCCGGGCTGCCCTTCTCGGCCGGTGGCGGCGAGGGCAGCAAGTTGCCACCTTCGAGCTCCATGGTCCAATCGCCTTCACTGCAGGCGCTTTCCTGCCGCCTTCCCTTTTTTCACCACAGCTCTGTTGTCTCCTCTCGCAAAACAGCCTCCCTATACCCCCTCCTCTCCTCCTCGCTTCCCACGGCTCCCACGCGTGACCAGAGCCCGCACCCAAGCGGGACACTCCGGGGGCCAAGGTCCCTCTTACTTCACCGCTGTCTTGCTCCCGGTCGCTCTTCTCTCGGTAGACTCTCTGCGTGCGCTAAAGCTTCCACCTTAGCGCCTATTTAGCTTGAGCCTAGCTTCGGCAGCTCGCGTATGATGATTGCTGGCCGGGGCTGCGACTATTCGCTCGTCGCCAGCTGTTGTTGTGCGTGCTTGTGTGTGTTGTGCGCTCCCTATACCCGTCCCATGCACGAATGTAGCAGCAGCCCCTGATAACGCCTTCCCAGCGGATGCTGGATATTCATTACCAAGTCCGTCCGCTGCGAGGAGTAAATACGCCTCCACGCTCATCAATGTCGTCTCCTTTTATTCATTTATTCCGTCCGTCCTTTAGTTAAACAGAATATCCCCAAAAGAAGAATGAATGCATTTGCCCGTAACTAGAATTGATGTCCCTTCTTTTTATTAATTTTAATAGTTTAAATTGGGAGTGCCTATGTGTGTCTGTGAATGTGCACTGTGGGCATGCACTGGTTTCTGCTGGGGTAATAATTATTATTAAAATAATTCATTTATTTGAGCCATAGCATTGCAAGGGGATACTATACAAAAACTGTCTTGCAAACAAATGTATTTGCTCTGAGTAATTTTACATGCATGTATGCGTGCTTTGGCTTGATACTTGTTATATCCAGCAGGTATATGGAAAAAAGATAGAATTAATTACGTGTACATACATATACACATTAATGTATACACCTCTATGGGCAAATGTATGTACAAATATTCCAAATACATTTACTTGTAGACACTCATGGAGAGAGTATTAGGATATCTCTAACAGTATACTGTATCTACATCAGTAAACTGTATATCTACACCAATACTCTATGTGCGTATAACACATAAACTCCACACATTTGTCCATACCATTGCCCTAAAATGGCCTACCTCAAGGCTCCGTACTAGCACCATCACTATTTAACATATATAAGTGACCTGACATGTACACCATCTCGCAAGTTCATATGTGCATGTGACATAGCCCCTTTGCTGCACAGGGCACATACCTCAAGAACATTGCCAGTACTCTCACAGCTGATCTTAATATTATTGGAGGCATATTTCTGTCGCTGGAGACTCCGACCAAATGCTTCCAAACCACCGCAAGCACTTTCCACTTGAATAATCATGCAATGGATACCAACCTTTATGTGTCCTCCTGTGGAGCCCAGTGCGCTATGATCGCCTTGCAAGATATCGAGGGGTTATAAGGAACAGAAGCCTGATGTTCAAGCCCCGCATAAAAAAAAATCTGTGAAAAGACTAAACCAAGAATTTCCCTGCTACGGAAACGTGCAGTAACGACCTGCGGCACCTCAGCCAATCTCCTGTGAACTGCCATCCTCTCATTGATCAACTCAGTAGTCCTGCACTCCAGCCTGGTCCTAAAGCTCGTACACAAAACAGCTGTACGCACAATTAAATAACACATGCGCATCTACTGAAACTGACACCAACCCCTTGGGCTCCCTGTTCTAGCAAAAATTATGCCACCAAATATCCACAGAGACATGCAAAATGCAAGGCAGTTACACGTTTTCTTGGCAATGACAACCTATCCATTAACCAAGACCTCAACAATGTATATTGCCAACGACTCGAGTACCAATCCTCCTTCTGGGATCGCGCTGCTGTTACTCTTCTACAATCTCATCCAACTCTATAAGAATGCTGGCAAACAGATTGGAACAACGCAGACTTCCACAATAAACACCTTATTCGAGACCCAAACATCACACCTCGTGGCTTTCTCAACCGCATCAGACCATCAACAGGCCGATGCACACATCTTCATGAATGGAAAATTAAAGACAAGCCACAGTGAGACCGTAGCCATGCAACCCAAACTCTTGCACTACCGATTAGCACGGTTGGCTACATACGGTGCAAATAAGCTCAACAAACATACATACATGAAAACTATGGCCCATATCGTGAACCACTGTAGTCTGTGCTCCATCAATGGAGGAAAAGCAAAACGATGAAAACTCTTTGCTGAAGCCATCTCATAGCTAGCAGACCTCGACATTGGTATTTAGCTCCTGACTATTGCCATACACAAGAATATAATAGAATTTTCCTAAATTGGGAAAATAATGCAATAGGTGACGTTTTGGGCAATGGCCATTCTTCATAGCACACGGTATAAAACATGTTATTAATTTGTGTGTGTGTGTGTTCCACGGTATGTGTGTATGTGCGGCGGCGTCTTTGTTTTGGCGTGGCGCATGCGAGTGGCCGGGCACAGAGAGGGCCCAGCCTACTGTGGAGTGCGGCAAGTATGCAAGCTCCCACTGATCGTCGGCGAGGCGAAGGAGGTTAATTAAATTTTACATGAAAATACGTTTGCCCACTTCTGCCAATTGCTTTGATAATTAGTGCATAAATATAATTTAATTCACGAAGAGAAAACAAATGCACACGGGAATGCCATACTGTACACACACACACCCGGTACTGGATTTATGATGTTCATGCAACCATGCAATAGTCTGCATATATGGTAGACACAAACAGTGGTGCTGTAAAACTGATGCTGGACAATTTTACTCAGCATCGTTGTCTTCTCTACATGCGTACAATGGGATATATGCATTGAAGTGTGCACGTGTCATGAATGCCTCCTGTTACATTGTATATCATTCCCATCACATGTTTCGGCTTATAAGAAAATCAAGGTTCACACTTGCATGTATTTTTATGTTAAACGTTTATTTCGGCTGTAAAAGTATAAGGAAGGTATTTATCGCAACTTGCGGCGAAACAGAGTCACTACTAAACGCGTTTTTCCATTTACAGCGGTCATTACGCGTGTGTGCTTTAGACGGCGGCGTGAAGCGCTGCGTGATGACATTAATTTCACCTTCAAGCTCTCAGGCGCATAGTTCCAATGATGTTCACTGAAGGGTCGTTTATCTTTGATGGAAAATGAACATCTAACTGAAAGGAAACCGCCCCCTTTCCCAAAACAACGTGCGTGTATTGGCAGTGTCTAACACGGGGTTGGCACATACAGTATATGCTCAGGCGTTATTTTAATGTTTCATACTGTTTCATAAAAAAGCATATTTTTTCGTGGAAAAAGCCATCCGCTATACGTTTTAATACAATAACCACGATTACAGTGACAGTGGAACACTGTGTTCACTATTTAAAAAAGGATATAGTAAGTTCTCTCCCCTGGTCCGGTAATGCTGCAAACAATACATTACAACACACCTTTATCCCTGGTGTAGTGGTGCATTTCCGCATTTCATCGGCTCGGTGATGGGGTTACTTGAGCACCCAGAGATTAATTATGTCCATGAATCATCTACACGCATTGCAGAAAGACGTCTGGAATGAGGCAGTACAGCAAGTAGGCTGTACACACATTTATGCTGAATTCAAATACCCACTATTTGTCCCTACGTTTTCTTCAGGCATTCTGGTTTCCTCCCACACTAAAGGAATTGGATAACATCACACACCAGAGCCTAATGAAAATAATTGGAAAATTTGTGAAACTATCCTCTGTAAAACATGAGCCTATTAATGTGTCTCTGAAACAATTATTGAGATCAAACCTCCACTTAAATGTCAACGGTAAATCTGACTGCCAATATATGGTAAAAGGTGCAGCTCTGCAATTACTCATACCACTGCTGTCAGAAAGGCCTCTACCAGATGGTATTTAGCCTCATTACCCACACTGTACTGGCCAGCCATCTTGGAAGAGGTGGGGGTACCCACATTTTATCCCATCACACATGACCTGGCGATCGGCTGTGGTGTACCCATCTATACTGCTGAGTGGATAGAGGTGGTGGGGGGGGGCGAGATTTAGGAATCGTGTCCTATTGTTTCAACTGCAAATATACATGAGATTTAAAAATGCAAACAGCAGTGACCCTCGATTGAAGACTTCACACCAAATTGTCCCGCTATTAATCACCATTGGATTGGTTATAAGCATAGGCATAAACGTGCAGAAATTTGACGTAGTTCCCAACGTCTTGTCCTGCTGTAAACTCTGCGCAGGGTGGGGAGGGGGGACTGGGTGCGTTAGATTGTGCAAAGGCAATGGTGCAGCTCCGTTTCATTAGGGCGCACGCCCATTGCTGCAGAATGTGTTGGCACCTGTAGTTTTGGTGAAGGCTCAGCGAGCTCAAACAATTTGCATACGATTTCGCAACAAGAAACTTGCCACTGGCAATGGCTGGCTATTTCTGCATCCGCGTGGGTGTCTCATGGGGTCAACCAGGCATGTTATTGAAATTGCTTTTCCAGCCTAAATGGCACAACTCTCCTGCTCTTAAAAGAATGTCCGTATTGGCTGCTTCCCACTCTCATGACACCCCAGTTCATTAGGTTTGGCATTGCAAGACAGCTAAAGCTAATTTTTACACATGGAGTAATCACAATTAGATATCACTATGGACATGACTGTCCCATCCATTAATTTTGCTTCATTACTCCTAAATACATTCCCACTCTTGTCACAACTTAGCATCCAATGCAGCATGTGTTATCTGTGTGAATTTTCGCTGTTTATTGTCTTTTAGTAGCGATCAATGCATAATGAATTTTTTAAAAAGTGTTTGTGCAATATCAATCCTACTGTACTGGTAAGATTGTTATTACAATTAATGTGCAGTAA